TCCATTGTTTCAACAACTGTAGGTAGGTGTTATGGGCTGAAACGTGTCCTCCAGAAATTCATATGTTCAAATCTTGTACCAGTACCTCCAAATGTGACTATATTTGGAAATACGGTCCTTAAGTGGTAATTATGTTAAAATGATGTCATTATGGTGAGCTGTAATTCAATGTGACTGTGTGCTCATAAGAGGGGGAAACTTGGACACAGACATGTGTAAAAGGAAGATTAGGTGAAGACACGGAGAAGATGGCCATCTATGAGCCAAGGAGAGAAGCCACAAAAGAAACCAAGCCTTCTGACACCTTGGTCTCATAATTCTAGCTTCCAGAACAGAAAATAAATTTCTGTTGTTTAAGCCCCTCAGTCTGTGGCACTTTGTGATGGCAGCTGTAACAAACAAATATAGTTGCTTTCAAAATTAAGTTCAAATTTCACACACAAGAGCCATCCTGATCTCACACTTGAGTCTCTCTCTAACCTCGTCTCTCATACCTCAGGCTCTCTGAGTTCCCCACATTTGTTGTGTAACTTACCTGCATAACACTACCTTTGCACAGGCACTGCCATCACCAAGAATACTTGTCCACTGGTTCTTTATTCTAATACCTCCCTATCACTCAAAGCACATTTACAAGCAATGCTTATTAAAATAATTTTAACATGTATTATGTATTGAAGTACCAAGCATAATCACTGTGCTAGACCCCAAGGATAGACAGAGAATATCCCTATTTAAACAGATGACTTCTCATAGAATCCTGTGCACTCTTCCATCACTGTATTTAAACAAGAACATATTCTTTCTTATCTAAAGGCCTTAACTTTTTAGAAAAAAATCTATGCTATGAAGTATCTACTATGTACTACCTTTTTTTTAATTTTTTTAATTTTTATTTATTTATGATAGTCACACACAGAGAGAGAGAGAGAGAGAGAGAGAGAGGCAGAGACACAGGCAGAGGGAGAAGCAGGCTCCATGCACCAGGAGCCTGATGTGGGATTCGATCCCGGGTCTCCAGGATCGGGCCCTGGGCCAAAGGTAGGCGCCAAACCGCTGCGCCACCCAGGGATCCCCCCCTTTTTTTTTTTTTTGAAAAAAAAAAAACTCCAATTTTTGGAAAATTCTCCAATTTTTTAAAGATTTTATTTATTTATTCATTATAGACATAGAGAGAGAGAGATGGGCAGAGACACAGGCAGAGGGAGAAGTAGGCTTCATGCCAAGAGCCTGATGCAGGACTTGATCCCAGGACTCCAGGATCATCCCCTGGACCAAAGGCAGGAGCTAAACCACTGAGCCACCCAGGGATCCCCTACTATGTACTACCTTTACTAAGTTGCTAAGTACCATCTAGGCAGTACTTCATGTATCATTCATCTCAGCCCTGGGAGATATGTACTATTACTGTTATTATTAAAATTTTACAAATGGAAGTTTAGCCTCAAAGAGGAAAATAAGATGACACAGGTGGTTAAGTGGCAGGGCTAATTTATCAGATTCCAATCATCTTATTATCCTGCTTCCTTTGGAATGTGTAAGCTCCTGGAAGGCTGGAGCTCTATATTCCCAGCCCTTGGTAAAGTACCTGATACATAGTAGGAAAAAAAATCATGAATTTGAGTAGATAAATAAATTATAACAGAATAAGGCTCTTTAACATGAACACCATGAATTCAGTTGAAGCAAATGAGAAATAACTGGGTTGAAAGGCATAGGAAAGATGGTCCACCATGTCTGGAATCACATATGTGGGTTTCCTCTGCAGAGCCTCTACTCAGCAGCCTCAGTGAACTGGGCCAAAGTACTTTGCTCCTCTGCAAGTTGGATTTATCAATGGTGTCATGAGGTTATTTTGCACATTAATTGAGTATGCCAGGGCAACACACTTGGTTAGCATGATATCAGACACAGTACCAAATAAACATTGGATGTGGTCACCATCATTAGGTTGCAACTTCTCTACTTGAAATGAGATGAGCACCTCATCAGAGGATTTTAAGAAAAAAATCTATAAGAGCAAGAACATCTTCCCCAAGAAAGATAAAAGATATTCACTGGGAAAAAATGAACAATGGCAACTTCTCCAAGGTGTTCATGTCATGACCAGTGAAAAGCAGAGTGTTTTGACAACTTTTACCAAGTACCATGCCATGTGTTATACTCATGAAATGTCTCTTGAATGTAACAATCAAATCCAGATGGTAATGTGAACAATTCACAGATAAGTCACATAAGAAATCAGGATTACAGATTTACTCCCATCTTGAGAACCAACATATATTTCTATTTTCATTTTTCCACTGATAATCTCTCTTTTCTCTTAGTATTTCAGGTCCAGCTGATTTTGACTTTTAAATTTCTCCTCAAACATTATTTTACTATGATTTTATTCCTCATTGGCAGCAGCTCTGTCAGATTTTTTTCTCAGGTACATTTGATATAATAATAATGTAATAGAATGGAAGAGCTGGTTTTCAAACCCAGGTCTTATCATTCATCAGCCTTTCTCAGAAATAAAATTTGTACCAAGCACTGTGCAAAGCTCTCTATATTCTCAACACTCGTGTTCAACACGGTACCAAAATATTAGATAGAGCAGTCAGGCTCGAAAATGAAATAAAAAGCACCCCAATAGAAACGAAAGCAGTAAAACTGGCTATGTTTGCAGATGCTGAGATATTATGCAGATGAAACTCTAAAGACTCCTCCAGAAACCTGCCAGCACTAATCAATACATTCAGTAAAGTCAACATACAAAAAACAGTTGTGTTTCTGTATACCAATAACAAAACATCTGAAAAAGATATAAAGAAAACAATTTCATTCACCAGCATGTTAAAAACAATAAAGTTCTTAGGACTAAATGTAGCCAAGGAGGTGAAAGTTCTCTACACTGAAAACTACAACTTTGATGAAAGAAACTGAAACAAATGGGAAGATATCCTATGTTTATTGGTCAGAAAATTAATATTGTTAAAATGTCCATATTACACAAAGCCATCTACAGATTTAATGCAATATCTAGCAAAATTCCAATGACATTTTTCACAGAAATAGAAAATAACAATCCTAAAATTTTTATGAAGCCACAAAGACCCCAAATGGCCAAAGGAATCCTAAAGAAAAAGCACAAAGCTGGATGTGTCATGCTTTTTTATTTCAAACCATATTATAAAGCTTACAGTAATCAAAAGAGTACAGTACTGGCATAAAAACACTTAGGCCAATGGAACAAAACCTAGATCCCAGAAATAAACCCTCACATATATGGTCAACTAATGTTTGACAAGAAAGCAAGAATATTCAATGGAGAAGGAAGAGTGTCTTCAACAGTGTTGGAAAAACTGAATAATTACACGTAGAAGAATGGAATTGGACCACTATCTTATACAACTCATAAAAATAAACGCAATGTGGACTAAAGACTTAAATTTAAGAACTGAAATTGTTAAAATCCCAGAAAAAAAAACATAAAGGAAAAACTTCCTTTTTACCTTGCTCTTGGGCAGTGACTTCCTGGATATGACACCAAAAACACAAGCAACAAGGGGAAAATAAGTTAGTGGTACTACACCAAACTAAGAAGCTTCTATACAGCAAAAGAAACTCAATGAAGTGAAAAGATAACCTATGAAATGAGAGGAAATATTTATAAGTTATACATCTGATAAAGGATTAATATCCAAAATATATAAAGAACTCATATAACTCAACAGCAAAAAAAATCGATAACTGAATTAAAAAATGGGTAGAAGAACTGAATAGACATTTTTTCAAAGAAGACATACAAATGAACAACAGGTACATGAAAGATGCTCAACATCACTAATCATCTGGGAAATGCAAATCAAAACCACAGTGAGATATCACTCCATCAGTGAGAATAACTCTTAAAATGATAAGAGATAAGTGTTGGCAAGAATATGGGGGGAAAAGAACTCTAATGCACTGTTGGTGGGAGTGTAAATTAGTATAGCCGCTATGAAAAACAGTATGCATGTTCTTCAAAAAATTAAAAATAAAACTACCATATGATCCAAGAATCCTACTTCTAAGTATATATCTAAAGAAACTAAGATCAGGATCTCATAGAGATATCTGCATGCATTGCAGCATTACTCATGATAGTCAAGACATGGAAAGAGCCTAAGTGTCTGTCAGTGGATGAATGGATAAAAAAGATGTGATACACAAACAGAGAGGAATATTATTCAGCCATAAGAAAGGAAATCTTGCTATTTGCTACAACTTAAATTGATTTTTAAAAGACTTCATTTATTTATTTATTTGACAGAAAGAGCATGAGCAGAGGGGAGGGGCAGAAGGAGAGAGAGAAGCAGACTCTCCGCTGAGCAAGGAGCCTGATGCGGGGCTCCATCCCAGGACCCTGGGATCATGACATGAGCCAAAGGCAGATGCTTCATTGATTGAACCACCCAGAAGCCCACAACTTGGATGGATCTTTAGGGCATTCTGCTAAGTAAGCTAAGTCAGATAGAGAAAGACAAATGCTTTATAATAACACTTAAAATATAATATCACTTATAATATCTAAAAAAATACAAACTCAGAGATACAGTAAAGTGGTGGTTGGTTGAGATAAGAGAAATGGGGATATATTGGTCCAAGGGTATATACCTCAAGCCGTAAGATTTACAAGTCTAATGCACAATATGGTAATTAGTTAATAATACTGTTTCATATTACTTAAATGTTGATAATTTAGTAAGTTTTAGGTGTTCTCACCACAAAAAAAATAACTATGGTGGTAATCATTTTGCAATTTATAAATGTACCAAATCGATGTGCTTTACATGAACCTTAAACTTACCCAATGTTATGTGTCAATTATATCTCAATAAAGCTCAATTAAAAAACACTATACTATCAGAGAAGTCAGTTCTTAGATAAAAATCTAGTTAGTACTGGCTGACTTAGATAAGGACAAAGAATAAGAGACGGTCTTATGCTCTATTCACACAAAGAACACCATTTACCTTTGGTGGAGGAACAAATTCAACACATTCCAGCCATATTGTTAAAAAGTACTTTCCACATATTGCACATTTTCTTCTCTGAGAGATTATGTTTCTGACCTGTGGGTGCCTTTGTATGGCTTGCATTATGAAAGGACTCTTTCCTTCTAGCTCATTCATTATAAATCTTGATGTTATTTCCTAGATTTAAAAAAATACGGTTGCTCAGATTATTTTCAAGATAACTGTTTCATATTACAATGATTCTCATTTCACTAATTTGCACTTTGGGGCTATTTTTCACAGTTTCTGTTAGTTTTCATATATACATGAAATATAATATATATATATATAATATATATGTGAAATATAATATATATTAAATTATATTGCCAGTAACTGGCATTACAGTTTTCAATGATATAAGAAAAATAAGTTACTTCTGTTTCAATATTTCTATGTCTCTTAAATACAGGAATCCAGATTATTAAAAATTTACATTATTAAAGCTTAGGTTCAAATTCTGTACCTCTCATTAAAATAAGCAAGGACTGTACAAATATTCAGACTGGACTCAAAAATTGAGTCTGTCATATTTATTAACATCTAAATTCTTACTACTTTAACTGAAACTCATGAACCAATAGAATCTGCATTATCTCAAAACCTATTAGAAATGCAGACTTCCTGGGGTGCCTGGATGGCTAGACCGGTTAAGCTTCTGATGCCTGATTTTGGCTCAGGTCATGATCTCAGGGTCCTGAGACTGAGCCCCATACCAGGCTCCATGCTCAGTGGGGAGTCTGCTTCTTTCCTTCCTTTCCCTCTGCCCTTCCACGTCACCCCCTCTTGCTCGCACTCTCTCTCTCTCTCTCAAATAAATCTGGAAGGAAGGAAGGAAGGAAGGAAGGAAGGAAGGAAGGAAGGAAGGAAGGAAGGAAGGAAGGAAGGAAGGAAGGAAGGAAGGAGAAAGAGAAAGAAAGAAAAAAAGAAATGCAGACTTCCAGCTACACTCCAGACCTCCTGAACCAGAATCTGCAATTTAAAAATGTTCCCCAGGCAATCAATTGGTGTGTCTGTTGACCTTTAAGATGTGCTGGTCTAAGTTACCTACTGCAGTGAGTACCTGAATAGAGTCATATCGGTAAAGAGTACGGATTTCTATCACCCAAATCTCTGAATTCAATCTGTAATCTCTGAATTAAAACTATCCACAGCCATGCCTAGAAACTTCGCCTTAGCTAATAATTCTAATATTAAATAACAAAAGGGGTGGTAGGAAAATACAAAGTCACTTTCGCCAGGACCATTGACAATATCATCATCCTAAAGTAAAATACTATGTATAAAAAAGTAAAATGCTATATAATATATAAAATTAGATCTTCACTAATGAAACAAAATAAACATTTTATTTACTCTGCTATATGAGCATCATTATTTGTGCCGGTAGCATGGAAGTCCTGTGTAAATGTTACACGAGCCCATCGAAAGATGAATGGATAAAGAAGATGTGGTTTATGTATACAATGGAATATTACTCGGCCATTAGAAACGACAAATACCCACCATTTGCTTCAACGTGGATGGAACTGGAGGGTATTATGCTGAGTGAAGTAAGTCAATCGGAGAAGGACAAACAGTGTATGTTCTCACTCATTTGGGGAATATGAATAATAGTGAAGGGGAATATAAGGGAAGGGAGAAGAAATGTGTGGGAGATATCAGAAAGGGAGACAGAACATAAAGACTTCTAACTCTGGGAAATGAACTAGGGGTGGTGGAAGGGGAGGAGGGCGGGGGGTGGGGGTGAATGGGTGACGGGCACGGAGAGGGACACTTGACGGGATGAGCACTGGGTGGTATTCTGTATGTTGGTAAATTGAACACCAATAAAAATTAATTTATTAAAAAAAATGTTACACGAAAACACTGCATGAATTTTAATAGTATGTGGAACTGGTTTTTTTGTTTGTTTGTTTGTTTTTCTGGTCAAAGTGAAAGATTTCTCTCTGGTATTAAATAGTCCACAGTACGCTCGAATAGGAATCTTTGGGGATATATATATACTTATGTACATACATAATCTTCATTCATTCACCCCAATTAAAATCTTAAAACATAACAACAAAATTCTATAAACTGCTTCTCTGTGTCCCGTATTACTCGATCCCTTCCATTTACCAAGCAGCTGAGAAAGCTGCCTTTCTACAGCAAACAGCCTTAAGCGTGGGCTCCTTAAATCCTTCAGCAGCACAGCCTCCTATCCACTTCAGCTCTTCCTCATGGATAGTTAATAAAGGTCATCCTTTCTGAAAAAAATTACTCTTTCACAGTAATATTACCAAGGCTCCTAAATTAGACATCTATTATCAAATCCCCTTTTTAAACTACTTACACAGAGCACAGTCTATCATTCAGAATAAATACTGATTTTAGAGGTAAGTTTTCAGCTATTAGAACTCAACGGCTAGGTTTTCACTATAAAGCAGAAAACTAATAAATAAGGATTCACTCCCCCAAACAGCAGATGTTAGAAAAATTTGCTGAAATACATGGGACCTATAAATAGGTCACAATTCATACAGTTCACTTTTTCCATCTATAGTTTCTGGAACCAAACATATTTGTTGCACTTGATATGTCTCTTGACAACTCTTACATTACCCATTAATTATGTTCTTCTCCTACTTGCTGCCAATACATTACTTTGGAAGAATAACATATATACCACCGAAACATAAAGTTATTACTTGGAACTGCTAGTGTATATAAAGTAAGATACTATTGGCAGGACCAATGATATGTTTTAGGACACCTCTTAAAAGATGTAGGCAATGCAGTTTTTGAGAACAGACAACTTAATGATGGCCTAATTCTACGGTGATTTAAAGGTCAAGAAATCTTTTATAAATAAATGTTTTTCCTTTTGAATAATTTATATGCTATTTTGTAAGAGTATCTGTCAGCTAACTATATATAGGTCAGAGAGTATTCCTAGGCTTAAACTATCATATATTAAAATCAGTTTCAGCCAAATTCTTTTATTTTTCCTTACATGTGATTTTTATTATAGAATTATCCATATGCAAATTATATAAATATTAAAAATTATAAAATGTAAAAAAAAAAACCATGAAGCTTTAGAAGGAATGATGAACTTTGAAACTGTTGCATGATCGAATGCTACCATGTATATGACAGGTACTGAAACATCATCAAGAGCAAAGATTCTTAGAGCCGGACAGGTAAATAGGTACAAATCCTGGCTCTGTGACTTACTACCTGTGTGACCCTATCTGGCCAAGTCCTCATTTACTTCTCTAACCTTGGATACTACATCTGTAAAATATGGATTTTTTTTCTAATACTATCACATAGGATTCAGAGAATTAAATCAGATAACACGAGTAAAACTCTTAATCCAGCATTTACTGGTGCAGTATACTTTGGTTAATGTTTTGTTATAATCTAGTCATAAACATTAAATTTTAGCTCATAAATGTTTTAGTTGAAGAAAAGTTTTGAAAAATCTTAATCAAGGCATAGCTTAAATCAAAGCTCTGCAATTCTTTAACAGATCAAGTAGTTTAAATCAGGGGCACCTGGCTGGCTTAGTCTGTGGAGCATGTGACTGTCGATCTCAGGGTTGTGAGTTTGAGCCCCACGTTGGGTGCAGAAAGTACTTTAAAAAAAAAAATCATAAAAATTAAAAAAAAATAGTTTGTAACAGTAATGTTAACCAAATAGCCACTAGAAAGTGGCTTTACTTTAAGTACAAATATGAAATGTGTAATAAATTTGGCAGCTTTCTAAGAAAAAAACTCTTAGAGATGCTTTCAAAACTACCCAAATCATTAATATAAGTAAAAATAATTATTTCCACTAAGTACAATTGACCCTTTTAAACTGTGTGGGTCCAATTATATGCAGAATTCTTTCTTTCCTTCTATTATTTATTTATTATTTTTAAAACTCTGGTATGATTAACATATAATGTTTATCCTACTTTCATGTGTACAATAAGGTGATTCAACAATTCTATGCATTATTCACTACAGTAAGTGTACTCTTAATCCTCTTCACCCATTTCACTCACCCCCAACTCATTTCCCCTCTGGCAACCACATATGAGTGATAGCATGAAATATTTGTCCTTTTTTAAGTGACTTATTTAACTTAGCATTATGTCTTCTAGATCCATCCATGTTGTTGCAAATTGCAAGATTTCATTTTTTTAAGGTTGAATATTTCTCTGTGTGTATGTGCACACGTGCATGCATGCGTGTACATATATCTCACATCTTTTTCCACCCATCTATCAATGGACCCTTGGGTTGCTTCCATAATTTGGCTATTGTAAATAATGCTGCAGTAAACATAGGGGTGCGTATATCTCTTTGATTTAGGTTTTTTGTATTCTTTGGGAAAATACCTAGTAGTGGAATTGCTGGATCACTGGTATTAAGTGTTTGAGGAACCTCCATACTGTTTTCCACAGTGGCTGCACCAGTTTGCAACCCTACCAAGAGTGCACAGGGTTTCTTTTTCTCCACATCCTCATCAACACATGTTGCTTCTTGTGTTTTTGATTTTAGATATTCTGATCGGAGTGAGGGAATATCTCGTTGTGGTTTTGGATTGCATTTCCCTGATGATTAGAGATGTCGAGCATCTTCTCATTTGTATGTTGGCCATCTGTAAGTCTTCTTTGGAAAAATGTCTGTTCATGTCTTCTGCCCATTTTTAATTGGAGTATTTGTTCTTTTGGTGTTGAATTGTATTAGGGTTTTTTTGGGGGGGCAGATATTAACCCCTTTTCAGATATATTGTTTGCAAATATCTTCACCAATTTAGTAGGCTTTTTGTTTTGTTGATTTTGCTGTGCAGAAAGTTTTTATTTTGATGTAGTCCCAATAGTTTAGTTTTGCTTTTGTATCCCTTGCCTTAGGAGACGTATCTAAAAAATGTCAGAAAAATTACTGCCTATGCTCTCCTCTACGATTTTTATGGCTCATGGCTCACATTTAGGTCTTTAATCCATTATCAGTTTATTTTTATGTATGCTGTAAGAAAGTGCTCCAGTTTCAATCTTTTGCACGTAGCTGTCCACTTTTCCCAACTGCATTTGGTGAAGAGACCTTTTTTCCCCTTGATATTCTTGCCTCCTTTGTTGTAGATTAGTCGACCATATAATCACA